AGAGCACCATCCAACCTGACCTTGAAAGTTTCCAGGGATGGTATACCTACCACCTGTCTGGGCAATCTGCTCCAGTGTTTCACCACTCTCAGTGTAAAACATTTCTTTCTTCTACCTAGTCTGAATCTTCCCTCTTTCAGTTTAAAGCCATTACCTTGTCTAAATGGCAACAGGTCCTGCTAAAAAGTTTGTTCCCATCTCTCCTGTAGGCCCCATTTAAGTATTCAAAGGCCACAATAAGGTCTTCCAGGAGCCTTCTCTTCTCCAGGCTGAACAGCCCCAACTCTCTCAGCCTTTCTTCATAGCAGAGGTGTTCCGTCCCTCTGATCATTTTTTTGGCCCTCCTCTGTATCTGCTCCAACAGGTGCCTGTCTTTCCTGTGCTGAGGGTTCCAGAGCTGGATGCAGTACTCCTGGTGGGGACTCACCAATGCAGATTAAAGGGGTAGAATCATCTCCTTCAACCTGCTGGTCACACTCCTTTTGATGCAGCCCAGGATACAGTTGGCTTTCTGGGCTGCGAGTGCACCTTTCTGGCTCATACCCAGCTTCTCCTCCTTCTCTGCAGGGCTGCTCTCAATCCCTTCCCCTCCCAGCCTGTATTGATATAGGGGATCACCCTGACCCAGGTGCAGGACTTTGCACTTGGCCTTGTTGAACCTCATGAGGTTCACATGGGACCACTTCTTGAGCTTGTCCAGGTCCCTCTGGACCCTGGATCCCATCCTATCCCTCAGGTGTGTCAACCACACCATTCATCTTAGCATCATCTACAAACTTGTTGAGGGTGCACTCGATACCACTGTTTCTGTCATTGATGAAGACATTAAACAGTACTGGTCTGAATACAGGCCCCTGAAGGACATCACTTATCATGGATCTCCATCCGGACATTGAACCAGACTACCATTTACCATCTCCTGACTTCAACAAGAGTTGCTTTGTTAGCTAAGAGCTCTCACGCATCATTTCTAGGTACCCTGCTGTTAATTCTGCCTTTCTGAGATTGTCTCCCTCCTTTTTGTTACATTAATGCTGCCTTCCACATGAAGCATAGTCATCTCTGACCTCTGCAGCTACATGGTGCTCACCCAGCCCTAGCTGAACTGAGTGCCCATAAACCCACCTGAGCCACCACTGCTCCTCCAGAGGGCATGAGTTCTGCAACACCATCAGTGCAGCGTTCCACTGCCCCATGGCTTTCTGCAAGCCCATCAGCTCTGCATTTCTTGCTGTGTCGACCAACATTCACAGCTCTCATTCTCGTCCATGCCCTAAATTCTGCTGTCCCCAAATCCTGTTCCCCTGTCTCCCAGCCCATTAACCCTGCTGTCTTCTTTTTCTCATCAGTTCTGTCTGTCCCTCACACCTATTTGTAAGCCCCCTGTACCTGCTTACTGCATCTTTGCCTCTCTTTCTTCCAAGGCTCTTTACCTCTCTCTGAGGTAGGCTGAAAGCCTCAGCAGGTTTACCTGCTCTTCTTTGGCTGGTATCCTGTCATTCTCTCTCAGACGCGGAGAGGTGCCAGAGCTCCCTGAGCAGCTCAGTTTTTCTTCCCAACCTTATCCCCTGTCCTGGGCTTCTTACTGAAAAGTCACAATAAACACAATAACCCTGAAAGGAAAGATGCCATCCTTACAGCATAAGCTCTGCTCTCAGCTGAAAAAACTCTGTTATTTGTAATAACATTATTTTATTTTTGAGTTGGTAAATGCCACTTACTGCAAAAGAAGTGCATCAACAACATTCAGACTTTTTAGTGGTAAATTAAATTAAAATCCCAACGTGTGGCTAATAGCAAGAATGGGATGTGAAAAACTGCCTAAGCAGGGCACAAACAAATTTAAGCTCATTAGGGATCTACAAGAAACTTTTGATTCTAAAATTGGGAGTAATTTTCATAATCACAGATATACTACGGATCAGCACAGAAGACTGATAATGAGGACATATACTTTGATGGCACAAGACTTCGAAATGCATGATTAAGAAATTAAATGTATTATGAAGGAGTCTGCATCTAGTAGCATACATTCTGGCAGAAAATTCATCCAAGAGATGACAGGACTTTAAAAAAGGGCTTAGTGGTACTGACACAATGCAATATACTAATTATTTGGCAGTGCATAATATCTTTATTTAGAACAATAAAGTATATGTATATAATGTAAATTCCAAATTTGAACTGGTATAAAAAAGGATCTGGGAAAACATCTATCTTTAAGAGGACACATATATACATACACATCACATTTTATAAACTGTTGATTACCTTCAGTCAGAATGTAACTATGCAAGACTGTGCTGACATTTACACTGAAATAAATGAATTTGCCCATGATACAACCAGCAAACATCTGTGTCTCTATCACTAAAGAGTCTGAAGTTTCTGCGTTCCATCAATTTGATAACATAATAGCAACATGCCACCATTACTGTAGATTTGCATTTAATAGACAGTTGAATCAGATTCCTGAATTGAAGAATGTTGGATAGTCCTTAAATGTAAATCTAAGTCAAAATATCTGTATTTCATATATACAGTTAGCTTTTCAATTTAATAGTTGTATTGTGTGTACTGAACAGTTTCAGCATATTACAAAGAGAGAGCAACAGAGAAAACAGAGCTGGTGAAGATCAGAATCTAAAAAATGTGCAGGTTGTACACATACTCCATAGTATAGCACATATAAAAGCTTACTTACAAAATGACCTTGTGATGAAATAAGTACCATTAATTTATTCAAGTAAACACACATCTAAAGTAGCACATTGAGTTACTCAGTATATCACTATCTGCTTTTTATTCTCACAAGGTCACTATTAATTGCATGCAAAGTTCAACTACTCCAACGGAAACCTAAAAATGTTAGTTTCTCACAAAACCACAGATATCTGAAAAACAAATTTGGTTGACTTTTGTATAAAAAAATACAACACTCACTTTTTCCCAATTTAATTTTAAGAGAAAGAGCATTCATTTTCTAACTCTGTTAATGCATGGGCTCTCTCTACCCAAAAAGGAGACTGAAAAACTCTTCATAAGTTAAATAGCTTGCAACTGGATAAAGAAGCAATTAAAGGATTATTTCTGCCATCCTTCTTCCCACTAAACAGTAACTTATTTTATTTTCATTGATTTCAAAGATGCCTCACTAGCCAATAGTCTCTCAAAATTTCCTACATTCAAAGTAAGGGCCTCTTCAGTGGGCAGACAAATTGGGTACAGAAACTTTCAGATAATTTCGCAATCACACTTCCAAGAGCTGTGCCATCCGCTGTATCCATGAATGTCCAGAAGTGTCCTTCTGCTTTGCAAAATGATTGAGAACACCCAATGTTTTGTTCACATCTCTCAAAAGAGGGTGCAGACAACAGGAAATCCACGAGCTTCAACAACAGTTCTTCTACTCCATGTGTTGTGCTACTTCGGTGCATATTCAAAGAACATTTGTGACGTGAAGTTGGAAGGTTTATATAAGAATTTTCCTTCTGTTCTCATGTAGCCTTAAATTTGCCTTGCTCCATGGAAGAAATTAAAGTATCTGACACTACTTGAAAGTGATACCTAGTTCACCTCTTGGAAGGTGAACATTTTTAAGCAGTCTAGCTGGGTTTAATATAGGCTTCAATTTACAGCTGATACTTTCTATAGTATTGAACAGTAGACTAAGGAGCCTAAAACATCATGCATTTTGAATATCAAAGTATAATTTGAGGCACAGCAATGTGCAACATTATTGCATATTTAATTTTCTGGAAAAAATGCATTTAGGAAAACTAACATTATTGTGAACAAAGAACATTAATAAATACAAGATCTTTGTTTAACTAATCTGAGAAAAATACTGTAAAACGTCAAATGCATAAGCTTGCTTTGAGATAGCAACATGATGTATTTAAGGTTTTTGTAAGATGTGTAAGGATAATTGCTTTCATTTACTCTGGATACTTTTCTGCTCTGTCAAAATCAATACACAGTTATTTTCCACATTACCAATAAGGTGCAAATTTCCCACCAATTAGGTCATGCTGACATTTCTTCCAAGCTGACTCTTAAATAAGTTTGAAACACAAAGTCTAAGGGCCTTGTGTGTAAAGAACTACACAATGTCAAATGAGACTGAGCTGCAGATGGGAAATTCTGTTGTTTGACTTTTGCAGAGCTAAAGTCAGGATGCACTTGTTTTTTAGAAGTAATGAGCAACCTTGATCATTCTTCTTTACACAGTGAGTGCTCCAGCATCTTCTGAATAAAAGTGAAGACCTAATTCTCACACTAAGCCTCTTTTGATCTTGTCTAAGAGAAGTTCCTCAGACTATGCAAACCCCAAAGCCCTGTTAATGTTAATGGTACTATGCTAATTTATACCAGCTAGGCAGGACTTAAGGACCCTTTTCTGACACCCAGAAAGTGCAAAAAGGCCTCAGTATAAATAAAAAATAGTTCCACATGATCAAATCCTCTTACCAGTGAATTCACAAGAAGTTTCAATATTGATCTCAGTAGGAACAAAATTCCATGCTGAATGGCTACATGAACACATAAGCTCTGTCATCAAACATATTAAGGTTTTGAGGTTTTTTTCTTTTTGGTAAGTATGAAAGACAAATCAGTTTTACCAATAATATGCATGTGCACACACACACATCCACACACATCCACACATATATATTATTGTATGTCATATTTTTTTTATGCATGGTTATCAGAAAATTCAGCAGATGATTAAAATTTCCAGAAGAATTCTTTAAAAATTAAGTAACTATACACTTAAAAGAGAACTCCAACTTAATGCAAAACATTAAAAGGGTGGTGGTTTTATTTTTAAGTTTTCAAGTTATTTAAACTAAGAATCTTGCTGGCCTGGTCACTTTGATGACAGACAACAGTCTGCCATCTGAATGAGCCACCTTTACCTTCTGAAGTACAAAACCCTAATACAGATAAATAATTTATACCCATTATCTGGAAAGAACCAAGATGAAAAGATGCACAACTACACTTGTAACTTTTACCATGGTATTTTTAGAATTTACTTGAAAATGCATGCCTGTACATCAGTCCTGTACAGATTCCATGGATGCTGTAACAACAATAGATGCAGAAGATAAGTGGGAAACAAAGCCTTTCTCTTTTGTTTCAAGAGAATTAACTTTAAGAGCCGAGAATGCCAGGATATTACAGCTTACAAATCACTTAAAACACAATGCAAACATTAATTACAGCTGATGTAAATAAAAGCTAAATACACTCTCAGGATCTTTCAGATTTTCTATGCTATACATCTAAAGACAAGGTATCAATGGCATGCACCTTCAGCATTTAAAATGCATTTCATGGGTTTGTCTTTATTCTGATGTTTGAACGCAATTCAGACTCTTTACTTTCACTTCCCTTGGCATGGCTGGAAATTTCACCAGTGTTCACACACCCAGCAGTTACTCTTAACGCTTCGAAGCTCCATGAGGTACATTCACCTCCTGTTTACTTTGTCTTCATCCAGTATTTGCTTCTCCTGAACAGAGACCACCAACGCTGATTAATTCTTGAAGCTTTCTGGGGTGGGCAACCAGCCACCTGGCACCTGACAGAGACCACATGTTGCTGTACACATGACCTTTGCCAGGCATAAACACAGCTCCTTATAAGTAAAAGGCTAGAACATGGGGTCATGGAATGGTTTTGCTTTCAAGTTCTATATACAATATTGAAGAGTATGTTATCTGTATCCATTTCTGCGTTTTCTGTCAGTTCAGAGAACTCCATCTGAAGACACCAAGGTAAGGTAGAGGACACAGAACTTAAATTAAGGATGCAAAGGTATTTATGACTTTCAATGATTACACATAGTTGGAGGCATTTGAAAGATGCTTTTTGTTCAGGACATGTACTTTGTTTGGCAGAGTCAGCTGCAAATACTAATGCAATTGAAAATCCCCAAACGCCACACAAGGTAGATATTCACACAAGATACAGTCCTGCTAAGTGCACACTCTTCTCGTCATTGTTCAATTCAGTGTTGGGTTCACAGTAACAAACACAAATTGTCCTCATTTCTATATCACGTCTATGGAGTCATGGGCAGCAACAACAGATGCAGACTCAGTCTGTCACTCCAGAAGGAATACGAATGTGCTTAAAGCTGCTTCATTTATGAAGCGAACATGGAACTGTTACCTGCCTGAAGAAAAAAAAAAAAAAAATTACAATTTTGCTGGTTAGTTTTCCTCTCTGTATTACTGAACAGTAGAGCTTTTCACAGACAGATGACAATTTTTGTTAAAATTTTTGTTATAAGAAAAATTTTTGTTATAAGATGTACTTTCCTGGTCCAAGACACACTTGCCTGCAAAAGCTCATCGATGTCATCTATGGTGATGAAACAACTCTCACGGTTTTACAGAGCTGTTATGTTTGTGCCTTTTGGTATCTACCAAAGTTTGGCAGCAAATTCTCTTCAAAGTCATCTGGACAAGCCAATACCAAACTAAGTCTACATTTTTGGAAAAATCAAACAACTTGTCCAATGCAGAGATGATGGTTTCCCTTCTCAGTGAGCAGATGTTAGAACAAAGCAGTTTGGGAGACTGGAAATCTCTCAAGTTGTAGCTAACTTGATTACAATGAACACTCTGGAATACACATGAGAGTGACTGCTACAGGATGATCTGCAAAACCTGGATTGCCTGCTATACTCTTACACTGGTCTTTCCATTCATGATATAAAATGAAGCATTCAGCACTGCCTAAGTCTTCCTTGCCAGAGATGCTGTGGGTTAAGTAAAGCACAACTCCTGAGGTCAGAATCGCCTTGCCAGAGATGCACACCCTTCTGCAGAGGACAGTTGGGACCGAGAAACCTCACTCGCCTTGGCTTCTCACTCTTACGTACTAGAAGATGCAAGAATGATGTATCTTTCAAACTGTGCTGAGTAAGCAACAATTAAGAGAAGCTCAGCTCTACTTGGCCTGTTCTACACTCATCAGCTACTTTAAGGATTGTGGTTTTTAGGTCACGCTGCTTCGAAACAGCTGTAGGACAAGAGCTGAACAGCTGAAGCACCTCTCCTGAAGACTGGCTGACAGAGTTGAGGCTGTTCAGCCTGGAGAAGTCTCCAGGGAGACCTTATAGCAGCCTTCCAATACCTAAAGGGGGCCTACAGGAGAGATGGGAAGGGATTCTTTATCAGGAAGTGTAGCGATAGCATGAGGGGTAATGGTTTGAAATTGAAAGAGGGGAGATTTAGATTAGATATGAGGAAGAAATTCTTTACTGTGAGGGTGGTGAGACACTGGAACAGGTCGCCCAGAGAAGCTGTGGATGTCCCCTCCGTGGAAGTGTTCAAGGCCAGATTGGATGGGGCTTTGAGCAACTTGGTCTAGTGGGAGGTGTCCCTGCACATGGTAGGGTGATTGGAACTCAACGATCTTCAAGGTCTCTTCCAACTCTAACTATTCTATGATTCTCCATATTGGTTCTCATGCCAAAAAGGTGAAGCAGTAGATGTCCCTCATTTTGGAATTCTGGCATATTTCATTTTGTGACATTCAGGTTAAAAAGTCAAATGCCTAAATGAATGATACAGGATTAATTACATTAGCTGCTGAAGATCTTAGGTACAAATGAAGCCTACTGATAAGTTTTATTTTTTTCCCAAAATGGACTCTGAAAGAAGTTATTAAGCCTATGGTAAGACTCTCAACTGTAACAACTTACCAGTACACGAAACAGTAACAGTGTTGAGGGAGAAAAAGCAACAGCTACACTTGTAGATGTTCCTTTTCTTTTTGCTGCAACATACTGAAAAAAAAAAGTATTTTATTACTGAAATGCTAGTGTTTCAAGGAAATAGAATGAAATGGTTTATCAGTTAGTTACAATAAAAGGGAACCCAAAGTATTAGAACTTATGGTTGCTACTAGGTCTTCTAGTTATAGATGAATATTACAAATCTCTCAGGGAGGAGGGAAAAAAAAACATATGCCACATACTTACGAAGACGTCTGATGGAGAAAGTAACCTGTTTAAATTTCCTTTTAAGGAAAATTGCATATATGTATATAAAGTGAAACAATATACCTTATCTCATTTTCCTCTTGACAGTCATGACACTGTGTAGTTTCATCACTTTCTGGTCTGGATTTGGGATGTGTTTTCTAGGCAGAAAATGCATTAAATATAAATATTCTAAAGCTTTCTCTAACAACTCCCTAAACAATTGTTGTATGTTTCAGTTTACTTCAGATTTTCAATATCAAAGTCATCTTGCAAAATGTAGTCTTGTCCTCTAACATATATCTGTTACTGGTATAATTTACTATCAAAGCCTTTGTACTGTAGGCAGGGGCACAAGGGCAAAAGCAAAAGAATCCTCTTCTCAAGATATAATAGCAGAACTAGGGAATTGGGGGAATCCCATGTTTTTAATTTCCAATTAGACAGCTATCATGCTAATAAGACAGGATTTGCACTTTGGTGGTGGAATCCAAGAATTTGACAACATAGATCTACATTTGCATGTCACAGTTCAGTGAAGATCAAAAGAGGTATCTCTTGCTTTCAAATGCAGAATGGTTCTGTTCTTCCCACCTCCCCACACCTATGAAATGTAGTATCACTATGTAAGCAATTAAATGTAGTATTTCTTACCTTCCAGTATATGGCTCCCAAAATAAAGCCAATAAGAAGAGACAGCAATGATGTCAGTGCTATGCTGATCCCTTGCAGGCTGGAGCTGCTAATGAAGCCAAGTGCCTCTTCTGTAATTACAGATGTTCTCGTTAGTGAAGACAGATTTATAGCAGAAAACTATCTTCAGGGCAACACTATTAGCAAGAGCACTTTTATGTACCACCTACATAACAGTATCGTAAATTGCAGAACAGATGCTTCAAAGTGCTGTGTATGAGGCACACTTCATATAAAAACTCATAGGAAATTTTTGACCACAAGGATGCTCCTCCCTTTTCTGAAATGGCTGTGTTGAATAGTTCAAGCACAAATTCTCTTTTTGTCATTTGTAGAGAATTTTCTCTCTCCCAAACTTCAAAGTTGGAGGTTTATAAATTTTTAAATCTTATTTTGTAACACAAGATAATTCTTTGGAAGAGAATATACCTATCACTTTGTGCATTTGCTGAAGTCCCACAAGACGCATCCCACTGACAGCAGTTAGACATTTTGACTTGCCATTAATGAATGACCGACATGAGGTCTCTTGAGGGAGCTTAATTTAACATAATAAACCTGACTTCATTTCTAATGTCTGTCTGGAAACATCCCGCTTACTTCAGCAAGACCAAACCCTTGTACCTAGAAGTCTAGCTGTGCATTATTTTGTTGCTACCATTTCTTGATAGCTTTTTACATTTGATATAGAAGAGCCCCAATCCTAGTCTTTTATGTACACAAGCAATTTCATTCCCCTTCACAGCAAGCTATATGCATGCAGAGCCTAAAATGTGGCCCTCCAGTCATTTAAACAAGAGCAGGAAGTGAAAAGTCCTACAGAGTCACCCTGGGATCCACCTTCTGAAATGCAAAGTGGACCACAGGAGACTGCTAGTTTAGACACCATCCACACAGTTTTACTTCATTTCAAGATTCGGTGTGTGCAGCTCAAATGGTGAGTACACTGTCAGATTATAGGAAAAGAACCAAACTGTAAGCACTGAAAATGTGTAGGTGATTAGATACAGAAATGAAAATGGACTGATAACACTAGAAATTTGTGTAACTCATGCAAAGAGCAAATGTCTAAGCATATACGGTATGAGGTACTGGGTCAAGCAATGTGTATTTAGTACATTATTGAACAGCCTCTAAGAAAACACTTTAGTTCAGAAAGAAGAATTATCCTAACTAGCAACTCACTTTCAACTCTCTGGGATTTTCTGATTAACATTTTGCAAGCTTTTACACAAATGTTGTTTTTATCTCTGAAATTCAGCTGTGCTTTCTAGACTCACAGTAGACAGAACTAAAGAATAAGGTCTTTACCTTATATACTCATATACTACATGTATCTCTGTATCTCATACACTGTTTACAAACTCTAGGTTCTGTCTATAGGGGCTTCAATTTTACTTATAACTAGTAGACCCGGCACACTAAAAGGAAACATTGGTAGAGCAAAATCAATGCTAGCTTATCTGTCTACAGCAGAGAAGGAAAAGATAGCAAAGTTCTACACAAACGAACATCAGCTGAAAAAGAGAGGCTACTGCTTAGTCTGCCTCTGACTGCTCAGACATTAAAACTAAGAGCAGAAATTAACTGGAGGGGCATATCTTTTCTCCAACTGTCCATCCTAGATTAGGCATAGAGGAAGTCTGCTTGCAGGACTGACCTTCAAGGAATCTGGTCAAATTCAAGTAGGGCAAAGCCAGTCTGAACATCTCAAAAAAATTTCTGTCATTACCTTCTCTGTATTGTAGTCTCAGCTCATTCTCAGAAGAAAAATCCTATATTGCTCTTGTAGTCTAGTCAATAAAAATGCAACGCTGCTTTGCCTAATACCATTAGCCATCTTCCCAGTGAGAGACTGCTGAGTTATTCAACTGAATTACATAAATACTATGGGGATGGTCATGTTTGTTTTTTTCTAGCTCTCTATGTGGTGATCTGCAACTCAGGGACAGAGACTAAATACATTCAAACTGTGATACCTTACCCAGCCTACCTTTTAAAAATTACAACAGATTTTTTTTCATAACTCGATAGTGTATGAATTAATTTGAAAGTTAAGTAACCCATAGCTACCTTAAGAAGCAAGCAACAACAGATTATTTAATTTGACTTTCAAGTCTAGAAAAAAGTCTCTTGAAAGTTCTGGAGAGAATGAAATGAGTAATGGCAGGCTACTTCATGTGCCTTTTATTTATAGTAATGTGTAAAACAGAACAGGTTGGTGAATTTTCAGTCTGGAGAACCTCCCAGGAACCTCTGTCCTAATGAAGAAAAGGGAGATAAGGAAAGCAAACTGGGTGCCAATTGGTTTTTATTCCTTCCATAGAGATCTTTTCCTCTGTTAGAAACTCGAGAGCTCTACACAGAAAGATTCCCACTCCCAGCAGTTGTAAAGGCAGAGCAGAAGAAGGAATAGGAGGAACCAGGCGTATCAGTAGCTTTGTGAACTCCTTGGGCAACGCCAGAGGAATTCCTGGCTTTTCAGTCAGCTTATTATTAACTTAAAATAGGCTCTATCCAGCAAGGTGCGAAAGGGGAGTGGAAGCGGGCCAGCATCTCTCAGAGCTCTCGCTCTGCACCTTGTGGAAGATTCCCTAAGGAAGTCATCTCATATGATGTTGATTTATGTTTTGTCTTCTTGGACATTGGGATATGAAGCTGTGAACAAAATATATTTACATTCAAAGTCACTCAGCCACCCAATGAACTTATTGAGCTATTCTCTACCTTGGGCCATGGTTCAGCAACCAACTATGATTCAAAGCACTGGCTCAATTTTTTTGCTGTAAATGTCTCAAAGGAATTTTCAGTTTACCTGCGCTCAGCTCCAACGCAATTACCATGAGATCTTATCTACAAAAATGCAGAGCAGCTCTCACCTGTTCATTACAGTTTTTCATTAACTGTAAAGATAGAACAAAGGCACAGAAGGCAACACCAATTGCATTAAGCCTTCGGTGAACACTTTCACATTGTTGTGCAATTATAGAATTAAACTATGGTATTCTTTGCTTAATTATAAAAGTAGACCTTCTTCCTAAAAACATTTAGAGAGATATCTGTGTTTACATGTTCTTTGAGCTGTTCAGTACGAATAATAAAGCTAAATTACTGTGTGGAAATCATAGGCAAAAATGGAAGAAAGCAACACTGAACCTTCAATGAAAATATAAATAATACCATGGCACTAAATTGAGTGAGAAGAGTTAGCAACAGCTAGTAAGTTCTAGCTGTTTGAGCTTTAATTATAGCAACATGAGATTCATCTGATGGGAAAAAACCCCAACAATTACTATTTATTGTTTGGTTCAACCACTGAAAGCAGAGACTCAGTACCTCTTATCCTGACACTTGTTCTTTACATAGGAACCATCTCATCTCTAGCCTATGCATGGTATAATGATCCAGAGAAATATCAATAAGACTGGGACTTAAACAGCTAATTGGAATTTCAATTGGACTACTGCCATGTAATACAAACATGTAAAACAAACAGCCTAAATAAATTGTGGGTGGCAGCGCTTTGAGAATTTTATGGGGAAAACGATGGGAGTGGGAACATGCCACAGATCTACATTCAATATTACAAGGATAAAAGTAGCACTACTGCCACTCAAAAAAAAAAATTAAAACAGGATTAATTATTCCATTTTACACTTAGTTGGGGTAAGACTTTTGGTGTACATTTAGTCAAGATTCTACCCTATTATAGTAGTTTAATTTTATTGTCATGTAATAACAATGAAGTAATAAAATATGTCTTTCAACAAATGTAGCAATAAATGAAAAAAAGTAATTTAGTTAATATATATTATATACAATGTATATGATAATTATTTCACAAATGATTTTACCAGATGATGCACTTCAGATTTGTCTAAGCTGAATTTATAATTAATCTGACTACAGAGACTTTATTAATAGATTCAAAATTTATTATTAATCTGGAGGGGTTCTTTTGCAAACAGTGAAGGCTTTTAAATGGTCTAGAAACCATTAATTTTAAATAGCTCAACTTAAAACTTTTTTAAAATTAAAGAGGGTTATTTAAAAAGAAAATATTGCAGTAGTATGTGTCTGGAGATCCTTTTTTCAGGTTTCATTTCCTCTCCTCTCCAAATGCTTTCCTTTTTGCAGTTTCAATCTAGTGGTGCTGTTCTGAGAACAGTACTGACACCAGCAGACAGGGTCCCCTGTGCTGGAGAGTCCTCACATGGGAAATAATAAGATTTATTCATTGTTGTTCCTTCCAAGAAGGTGGAGATTAAGTAAAAAGAAAAGTTACTCAGCAATAAAGCCAAGATAAAACTAAAATCAGTACTGCAGATCATTTTCAGGGAGTAAAATAGATGCCACTAAAGATGGCCCACGTCCCTCACTGCAAAGGGCTCCAAACAAACAACTAACGTGTAACCAGTCAGCAGCCAATGTCCAACTTAATGTAATTTAATCTGATTATGAGTTCAAACTGTCACCAGCTCCAGACGTGCAGTCCTCACGTCATTTCTACATAAGGCTGTTAACTGATATCCAATTTTCCAATAAATTGCTTAAGAGAACGATAATCAGTTAAAACACACCTGTACAGCATATGGCCAGCCAAGCAATTTCTTTGACTTACTGCATTATTTTAATTAGGCTTTTTTCCTACTTGATTATCAGTTCCAGTTTTAAAACAAGATTAATAAACCTGCTTCTGTACTCCCCTCCACAGTACAGACACAGGTACCACACTGCGCTGTGCTGCCTGGCATCCCTCCTGTTACTGTACTGGGTCAAACTCCTTTATCTGAATGCTCCTGTGATCTATCTGTGTCTCTTTTGGCTCCTTGATCCATTCCCATTGCTTCAGGCTGCAGCTGAATATTCTTCCTCTAACAGCGACAGCAAAAATTATCACGTTCAGACCTGAGAGAGACAGGTATGTGCTCTTTTGCCCCCTCATACTTGGCCCTGGGCTCATCACATTATTTGCAGACAGCTCTGTGACCTCTTGGCGAGGAATTTATGGCAGTGAGACTTCTCTTTTCCAGGGAGGCAGGCTGGCAGCCAGGAGTTGAAGGTGGTTTTTGTTCCAATGTTCTACTCAGAGGGTTCTGGGGAATGATGATTTAACACCTTCTCTTAACTAGAAAGCAATCAGGAAGGGCTTCAAATCTGACAGCAGCTGTGAGCCCACTAAGATATAGCATGTAGAGATAAAAACCCAGAGAGTAACTAGATTACACATTTCCAAGAGAAGGAGCACGAGAAGAAACTCAACCTTAGTGGTATCTGTCCGACCATCAGGAGCTGCTGCTGTGCCCACCTGGCCACATCAGGCTGCCTCCTTGACCACATTTTCTTAACCAAAAGGAGCACCAGCCACACACTTCATCATCACACATTTAGATAGCATGGGTGCTTGTGAAGTGAAAGGGGGAAATTGTAAAAGAGATACACATTGTCATCCTGATGTGTCCGGGAAACAAGAACAAAACAACAACATGGTTAAGCTTTAATCACCATTTCAGGAACCTCTAAGGAAAATCCCGTTCTTTTCCTCACATGGAAAGGTCCAGAGAGTGTTCACTTTGTTGTACATGATGTCACTAAAAAGTCCCTGACACTTTGCTATTTCTCTTCCCCTCAGATTCCTATACATACCCCTTCTGCCCTTGTGACGCGCAATGTTGAGGCTCTTACAGCAACAATTCTGAGACTCTTATCTGTCAGTGACCGGTCATGTAATACACTGACAAAGTCAGATGAGAAACATGGAGATGGACATGCCAGAGAAAGACTACAGACTACCAAAAATGCAGTAACTTTGTCCCTGACCTCAAATGAAAGCACACTGACTGCGAAGCTGGCCCTGCTGCAACTACAGCAAGAAAACACGGGGACTGTCTTCAGGTTTGGTGTCAAGCTTGAGATTGACAGTACTCTCAAAATGGAACATACAGACAACCTCTTTGTCCTCGTGAGCACCTTGGTCCAGACTTTGGACAGCTATTCTGATTGTTTGGAGCAACTTCCTTTTCTGAGAGCTGAAATGAGGTGCCTGGGACAGCCAAGTTTGCTGAGGCCATATGACTAGTGAGACCTCATGACAGCCAAAACGAAGAGACCTGCCCTCTCCAAGTTGTAGAGAGCTGTCACATCATTGTAACTTGATAGCATCTTTTAAATTTTGATTAGATAAATTCATTGCATTTCGGTACGACAGCTGAGAAACACATGGTACACCATCCGGCACAAGTAACTTCCCATTAATTTGCACAATTAATGACATTCTTTTCCTTTGAGCTCTCATAACAACCAGCTACCAGAACAAAATGGAGACACAGATATTAATTCAATCACTTGTACTTACTGTTACTGCTAGTGTTACTGCCAATGCTGTCATTCCTAAGGGAGCTGGCAGCAACAGGAGGAAACAAAAATGTTTTTGTGACAGCGACTCTGGAATCTAAATAGAAAATGAGTGTGTCAGCATTATGTAACTTAGAATACAGTTCCCCCTATATAAGATGATTGGCTACAGGGCTATTATGAAGTGGCTACATGGCTGTTTTAAAAATTTGGGTACAGGGCTGTTTATAAAGTGGATTAAGCCAAAAAAGGCAGTCTTACTAAGAGGCAAATGTGTCTACACACTGAATAGCTATTCTGGAAAAGCAATTGCTTTAAACAAGTTCTTAGGTTAAAGCAGATCTGCTTCTAGTTATTACTGGTGTAACTGTGCAACTGGATACGTTGCCCTAATTAAAAAGCTAATAGCTGTCACTAGAGAGAGTAAAAGAAAAGATAATACAAAACCTCCATTTACTGGAAGGATGAGAATGAACTGCAGGAGCCTGACTTGAGCCTATTAAATTTTTAAAATGACATAAACATGGCCTTTTTCAGGAGGGGTGGTATGAATATGGAGGTGACTTGAGGCTGCTGCAATTTACAACTTGTCCTAGCCTCCTGTCCTGTCAGTAGTGCAATCTTAGGCTCCTTTACAGCACTATAAAAATTAAATAGAGCATTAATGGAAGATAAGCAGAAGAAAAATGTAAAAATACATCCCAGGATAAATTTGGGATGAAAAGAAATGGAGCAGAATATTGTGAAGTTATTTAGATTGCATTAAGGAATGATGTCACTAGGAATGATGGCACTGGTTTTACTGTCAGACAGAAGTCGACAGAACAGAAATACAAGCTTCGGTGTTGGTAGTAATTTTAACTGGCAGTAAAAAGGAGACATGGAGATACAGCATCAGATCCTTAGCATCAAAGGAAATCTAAGGAAAGTTACCCGTTTATATATACTGAGATTCTGTTCCCCAAAATGAGAGTCATCTTACCATTCTCTGGTGTTTCTACTGTTGAAGGCAGAATGCAGTCATTCTTATCCAACCTGTCTGCAAACTCCTTGTAGACCTCAATGGTACTATTAAAGTGCCTAAAAAAATCCTCAGGAATGAAGCGATCTTCTTTATAAAGGTGACCATTTTCTTTTACAATATCCTAGGGCAAAATATAGAATTCAGCTTGAGAGAAGGTCAAGAGAGATGCTCATTTCAGCACCTCAACAGATGATCAAAATATCCAAAGATGACACAGAATAGTTCAAATTTTTAACCTGCAGAAGACCAAATATTCTATATACAATCGTCATGAAACATGCAAGCTCTCTGATCCAAGGACTTCAGATTTGCTTTGCAAATATAAATAAATTATTAATCCGGTGTTGTAAAATTGTCAAGGAAAGAAAGGCATTCTCTCACTCTATGCTGAAAACGAAAAGACTTTTTTTTTTATTTCCTTCACTGAAAAAATTACCTTGATTTCACATTACTTTGTAATGTTCCACATGATCCTTTTAATCTGAACACAGGAACACAACATAATCATAGCTATTGTCATAAGAGTACAGGGAACAGAATACAATAGCTGGGATACACTACTGCACAGAAACAGGTTGAGATCCCTGATAATGTACCTAAAAATAAGAGCAGGACTATAAACAAGGAAGCCCAATCACACTGAGGTCTCACAAACAAGTGTGTTATGCCAGACTAAACAACAAGATTGAGGTTCATGTTAAAATCATTGATAGTTATCTTTATTTCTTTTTACCTGACTCTGGCTTTCATAACAACTGTTTCTTATGCCAGCAGGCCAAATTTGGCCTGGGGTTACTCTGTATGCCCAAAAAGGGGGACAATGGTAAGAACATGGGTTAAGTATGTACTAAGGAAAACTTCCCAGTTTTGGCTTCAAAATTATTTTATGTTTAATGCTGAAAGTACTACACCTAAGATCATTCTTCTCTGAGGAAATCATGAGCTAGCTGTTTCTCTGAATTACACATAGAAAAAAATATAATGAAGAGATACATTGAATACTGGACAGAATTCAGTTTGAAATAGAAAGGTAGGGAATGTCTAAATACTCTCAGCAATATAATGCCAATATATGACAAGGTTACAAGGTTATGCTACTCTAAATGATAGAGTGGTTTAGTCCATTTGATTCATTCTGGATGTTAAAAAAGTGCAATTACAACAGCTAAGGACTTGACAAAAATAAACACATACAGAAGATGAAATCCTTGCCCTACAGAACATGATGAATTTTGCCCATTTTGTTCAGTGGGACACAACCTTTAAAGACAGAACCTATTTCTAATTACTGATTGACTGGTTAGAGCTGGGTAAGGGATTATAAAGTTAATTTTTTTTCCCCCATCATTTTCACACAAGAGAATCAGACATCTCTTGAGTGAGCCCCCTGGAACCCTTCCAGCTGCCGTTGGCATCCAGAAACACATGGAAACAGGCCGATATCCTCTAGTCTTTGCTATGTCTTTGTATAAAAAAGTTTATTAAACCATGGTGAAGCTTTCAAAGCTGTGATACATAGTAAGAGCATATTAATAGCTTCAACCACATCATCTTTAAATTTACATTAGGATCACCAGCAAAATGAATAATTTAAACTGGATGCACAAGGAAGATTTCTGCCAGTTTCAAACAGACCAGAATGAATTAATTATCTTAAAGATGACGGTTACATTTTGACTACTTAAATAACTGTATACAGGTCATTGTATATACTGTAATTCCTTGTAAGTTATTTTCCTTTGGAACAGGAGATAACGACTAGCCAACATTAGCACAGTGTACTCAGTGCATTTCTAAACAAAGTAGGATTTCAGATGTTACAGGAATAGAAATGAGAACAAATCTAATGACATTTTTAAACTGTTACTGAGTACTGTGCAACAGAAAGTTCATACAAAAATATCCAACATAAAAGTAAAACTCTGTATAAGATTACCTTATTTTTATCAAAAGCTAGGCATGCCATAAGATCATTAATTATCCTGGTGAGATTATTGATGATTGAATAGTTGCTTAAAACATCAGACATATCTGAAATATCTGAAAATTTCTGGAGAAGATTATGTAGACTCCTTGAAAATTCAGGCACCATCAAATGCAACCAACAGTGATTAGGCTGTCAGAGGATAAAAAGAGAAACAAAGGAGGTAGATTAAATATCAGACTTTTGCAAAAACTGGTTAAGCAACTCAATGCACAAAAGTAGATTAGACTGCTCTTTCCAATTTAAAGTATCTTGAAAGTCTAAATTAAAATTCATCTTCTTCAGTGTGGCCAACTTTGTCTTCAGTCCTTTTGGTAAAATTTCTATTCTCACTCATGCTGACATATTTATGATTGCCTGTTAAATTCTGTCCCTTCATTAAATTCTTAATGAATGCTAAGCATCAGTCGGTTGAGAATTTGAGCCTTGGGACATACTACCATGAACCCTCTTCCATGCTTTCATTAACCTATTTATTTTTTTTAAATAATTACTGCTTTAACAATTTTCTTCAGACTTTCTTTAAACCAATCTCAGTGTTAATTTATTACTGTCACCCTACATGACTCAGTTAACCCCAAAGATCCTTGATTTAAATCTCTTCTGAGGAAGGTTTCCATAAATGTTTTGCATTACATCCATGTATGCTTTTATCCACATTTAAACTAGTTAGCTCAATTAATTCCTTCTCTTCAGCCTTTTCACTAAATGCCATTCTGGGAACAGTTTATAGATCTAAAAGTCATTCTTTGCCTGAGTTTTTGTCAACGAAAGAGGTCTGCACAGCCTGTTGTGGTATCCGCCACTTCTGTACCACTGCAAGAGTTCAAATCCTTTCATGGATGCCAATGGAATTAGTTTGCAGATAAAGTTTGTACAGCTGTCCATGTGATTGAAACCTGGTCATTCATCTTGCTGCCTTTTATTTAGACTTACATAACAGTAGTTGAGTAAATAAAAAAGTCACCCAGGCTAGGAAAAACCCTAAAATGGTAGGGAAACATACGGGTAATGCATTAGCCACACTGCAACATGTACCTGGAAATCCCTTCCCAATAAATGCTGAATTTTTAATAGTAAATGTTATGGGTGAAGCTATTTTTCAGTGGTTGAAAATGTCTCAGGATCATTAAAGACTGTCAGCTATGAAGACCTTGGCGTAGCAACTCCTAAGTACTCTCAGTACCACTAAATCAGTTTCCATTTGCTGCCCAGTGGATGGGCAGCATCTACCAAATCCATCCGTTCCACTTTCTGCAACATATGGGAAATATTTAGCTTTGTATCCACTTGTAGGCTTCATCTCATTTTATTCAATTTCTGCCATAAACCTGTATACAGTTTCTTTATTAAAAAATCCCTTATTCAGTAGTATCAATACCATCACTTGGTGACAAATTACTTTCTTGGTGACACAGGTTTTGTTCTGCCTTGATGTGTAAATGTTTTTGATGAGGAAAAACACACTTCAGGCTTTCAAAGACTAACTGGACTATTAGGCTTCCAGGCTTAGAAAAACGAATGTAAATACATTGTTCAGCTCCACCTGACTTTTCACTTTTGTGTACAACTCTCTTACACACTGATAATAAGTGGAAAGACAGTATTATCACCTTCTGTAATTACCTCAACAATGACTTATAAAAGTATGAAATAAAATGTGAAATGGATGGCGTTTGGCTTGATTCTGCTTCCCTTTTTTCCTTCAAGCACAACAATGGGAGGGGAGAGGCAGTAGCAAATAAATCACAGAAAGCTTGTTGAAAAGCACTCTGTTCAAGCAGCATGCGTTGTGCCATGTCCCATTGCCCTCACAAGACAGACAACACGTTCTCCTCTGCTTTGGTGTAGGAACATGGACACAGACCTTCTGTGCTTCCCTGAACTGCAAATCTGGAAACCCTTTTCCTCTGAGGTTTTGTGGGTGTGCATACTCCTCTGGCAGGGACTAGCAAAAGCTTGCTGCTTCTCCCAGTGAGCATTTGGTGATTCCAGCAGGGAATCTATTTTGTTGCTCCCACGGTTTAGCATGTGCGTGGGAGTCTCCTCTGACTGAACCGTTCTGACCTACAAAGCTGTATTTTACGAGAGCTTCAAGTATTCTTTTCAGTAATATCAAGCTGTGCAACTGCTTGCTTTCTCAATAGCTACCAAACACAGGGATGAAACTGTTGAAATTGAAAAATGTGATGTTGCTTGCAAGGAGAAATGGAGGTTCATCTCTGCTTTTTTGTGTAAACTTTGACCAAGATTTACATTTTAGGGCAACTGCAAGCCTGACTTGCCTTGTACTACTCCAAGTAGTCCTCATTTAGCTTTTTCTTTCTAAATCTATCTAAAAGTTTCAAGTTTATGTCCCTTTTTGAGTTCAGCCTCTGCTGCTGTCGCCTTTGCCTTTTAACCTTCAGGTTAGACTACACAGTTCACTCTATGCAAGACCACTTTTAGAGCCATTCAGGTGCCTTGAGCTAGTGCATAATGCAACAACCCTTCTGTTTAATGGATCGGGTCAGTCTGTTCCTGTTACATGCACTACACTGCCTTCCCATCTCCTTTGCGCTCACCCTGCCTTCCTACCTTTACTCATCTACATTTGAGGCTTGCTACCTCGAGTACATTTCCCACTTTATGCACGCACTGAAGATTGAAATCTATTGAAAAAAAAAAAAAAAATTGCAGAGCGCTGTTTTAATCGTTTCGGAGCTGAACAAAGGGCATTCGCCTTATGCAAAGCCGTGGGTTTCCCAGCTTGCAAGGGCCTTGTAGAACCCAGAGAAAAACCTACTTATTCAGCCAGCCTTTTCTGTGGTATGCATAACCCAACCTGAAATCCCCAGAGAGGAACTTGGCAAAGTGGGATGTGAATGCTGCTGAATACTTCCTCCTGTGAAGGCATGGGGCCAAGAGCTGCACCTTCCATCACCGTGACTGAAAGTGGTGTACAAGCACAGGGAATATGGAAATCCCAGCTCTAAGCTTCTCTTCTTCCTATTTATTTCTTGGCTGCTCGTCGTAAATGTAAACTGGACCTAAGTTTCTGGATATGATGCAGCAAGATGACATGGCATTTAAACTATAGAAAAGAAACTGCATACTGCCAGCCAAAACTGAACCACGGAGTGAGGTAAGAGTTAAGCAGTGAGAACGACCAGGACCCACTGCTCAAGCAAGCTTCCCTGGATGCCTTCATCTGCAGTGCCAACCGCCCCAGGAGCGCAGTGGAGGGAACAGCCCCGATCCAGTTCAACCATCAGCTGCTGCACTCATCCTGGAGGCTGGAGAGCAGCGCTTGGGCTATGGCTCTCCTCCACAGACGTGAATCTTACATCAGGCACCAAAATAATTGAATGTCAAAAAGCACCGCAGCCAGGGGACAGTGGCTGCCAGCCAGTCTTACTTTTTTTTTTTCTCTGGGTATTGGCTATTTTGAGAGATGGAAATTTTGCCACGATCTAGCACCTGACTTCTATTGCATTATTCTGCAGAGTCTTCCTGTCTAAGGAATCAAGTTTAAACTTTTCTAGAGTACTCTAAGGCTCTAGTAAAAGCCTCACGTTTCCAACAAAACTCATAAGAACGCTGCCAGATCTGCATAATTCCTCATAGCCTCACAGCTCAGGTTCCCGCAGCCTCCTTTTCCTCCAGCCATCTTTTTGTTATTCAGGACTGAGAAAAAGTTGCTTCTGGCATTGTTCTCCAATATCAACAGGGAATTTGCTATGATGTTCTAGGATAGGGTGCATTTTTGTATGCGTATCGCACACAAATTGGATTTTCATAATGAAACTCTGTACAGACACAAATCTAGCTTCTTACATCTACCAGATGATTTCCAGCTACTGATGTATTTGTATAATGATTCATTGTTGACAGGCACAATATTTTTCAGTTTAATTTTCAAACTAGTCCTTTTCTTACTTTTTTCTTTCCTTAAAACTCTTGCAGTTGTGTGTGTACTAGTATAGTACCGTAGAGCATTCAGCATAATTTCTATTTTCCCTTTGTTTCCTTCTCTCCTATTTCTTGCAGTGTATGCAACAATGAAGAGAGTATTTTCAATGCATCACTCTAAAACTACTTTTTTAAAATTAAGGAAAAACATCAAAAATATTTAGTGGAATAAACAATAAGAAAATATGAAAAGGTTTTTAATACAAAATGTTATAAAATTTTAAAGAAGATAGTTGATTCTTATTTGAAAATATCTCTATGTATTAACTCTGGGATTATATAGGAAGAACAATACAAAACATGTTTGAATAAAATAATGTCCTTCACTTTCTAATGGCTTATTTAGTTACTGATGCTACCATTTGCTCAATTTAGGATTCTCTTTATTGGCGACTCAGTATTTGTTGTACTTTAATGGCATTTCCACTAGCTGAAATGACGACATTCTACAGTATACTCCAAAGTTCAATTGGAAAGCAACTACTTTAAGAAAGCGACTATTTTCAAATGACAGCATGAAATAATACCATCGTTTGACTTTTTCCAGAGAAGGTGTTAAAAAATTTAAGATGAAGAAATGTTTTCCTAAGATTCTTGTAATTAAAAATGTTTTAAATGACTGCAGGAATCTCTCTAAATTTCTTTTAAATGAATACTTGTGAAACATATGAAAAGTGAAAGAACTATTATTTAACTGTAACTTACTAAGCCATAGGACTATGTATAAAACATTACTGGTTTCAGTGGGCTATTTCATTGGCATTAACTTGAAGTGGTTGTACATACCAGACTATCCATCTTCGGGACATATTTAAGGGTTATCATATAATCATTTGGGAGATTTCCAACCTACAATAAAGAGACAATAAAAATGTTATTACTGACTACACAAAGACTTGATTTCCATCACTGTATTCAACACAACCTAAAAAGTATTCAACACGAATTTTAGTAACCTACCAGGTGCAAGAGCTTACGTACTCAGTTTCCTGTGGAACTGCTACTGACTCTGATTTGGTCACAAGTGAAGCATCTTTCCACACCTCTGTAACATTCCCAGATCCAATGTGAACATGTTCAATGTTACCCCTTCGCAGCAGAATTAAAGTCAGTAATGTGGATCTGAGGTTATTCATTACTGCAGAAACTCCATTGGATTTTCATCTTTTAATGGCATGTTTTGAAGTGTTTATGTGACAATTTGTATGTAACCCCAACCACTCCAAACAGTAGAGGACCCAGTACTCTCTAAGCTGTTTTCCTTCAAAAAACTTGCAACTTGAGCAAGCAGCTGAACCTAAAGAAATACTTTGCCTTGTGCTTAGTTACGTATCGGGTCAGAAAAACACTTGAGCACAACTTCAACTTTGAAGCTGTGCCTATTACTAATGATGAGCAACATAATTATATCACATCAATGTCCTGGGGCAAAGGAGAGCTTCCACAGATGTTGAGCACAGATTTGCAGATGTGGGTGAGTATGGGGTGTGCTGAAGCAAAGACAAGGAGTGGGAGAAGGGTTCTCACTGAATTATACAATGCAGTCTCCCACAGATGGGATCCAACACTACGGTGAGACATAGCTGGTCATCTGGGCAATGTGCTGATGGATGAGATGAAGCGGGAAATGCTACCATGATCAACAATCTCTTGAAGTACTTTTTTCAAAAGGTTTACCAATTCTATGATGCTTAGTGATACAGCAAATCTATTTTCTTTTCTATCAGTGAAAGATTCAATTGGTATTTCTCATGCTGGTTTGAAATCTGTTTAGTCAAAAGACAATATCACAAACATAACTCCTTCAGTGAACCACAATCTATACTTTTTTCAGCAAAGTATTCCTACTTATTCAGGTTAAAGATCATGCTATTATGGCTGCTTTTGATTCTGCTGCTATAGCAACCAGCACATGGATTTTTCTTTCCTGTGCAGTTTTTAGGTAGTATTTTGTTTGTTAATTAAAATTTAGTTTTAATTAAAAATTAAAACAGAAATTTCAAAATGTTATGGTTCTAGAAGTAATCAAGGACAATACTTATGCACAGTCACTAGTGAATTCCAAACATTTTTTTATTTACAATGTGGGCTGAGTGACAATCTTTCAGTTCAGTGCCATCTAGCTTTCTTTCTCCTACAGCTTTAAAAAAACAAGTTTTATCCAAATGATCCTGGTACATTCCTTTCCATAGATCAATTTTCTTTTTTCGTTTTTATTTTTACATCTACACATTCCCAAAGCAGCAGTCTCAGAAGTGCCATGAAAATTCTCTATATCAATTTCTATTTACCTGGCATTTTGAGAGTTGATTCAAGATGCTATAAATAATGAAAAATATTGGAATACATTCTTTCTTTCTTTAGAGCATCCAATTTATTCTAAATCCCTATCCACAATTTTTGTATATTTTTCCTCCCTCTAAAAACATCCTGACATCATGACACATTAAGAGATAATCCAGTTTCTTTTCCAGCTTCCTTTGCGTGCCTAGAGAGGTTGGATTATCTGCACTTCAAGCGGCAAAGATAGTGAAGATGCTACTGTATGTGCAAAGTTTCCCATACTCACTCTAGAGGGATTCAGTACTTAGCAATGTCAGCAAAAGCATCGTTCTTTAAGAAAGGTCACTGGTAGATTAAATTTGTTCCAAATCAATGAACACTACAAGAATTGATATGCATTATGTATACAATCTACTTTACTGGCATTAGAGCCTGTCAAGCACTTTTCATGCACAGTTAAAAAAAAAATGTAACTGCCCAAGAGCTCTTACAGCTTCTTAAACAAAGCTAGAGAATACAGCTCAGCCTCAGATATTTTTCTCCTTGACAGACTGTGAATCAGAAAAGATATTTTTTAATTTACTACTAAAAATGAAGATCACTGGGGGGGGAGGGTGTCAAGCACAAAATATATGCCCTGCCTCAAGACGAAACAACTTGTTAAAGTTTTATTGATTAAACTCCACATGCCAGATGCTCTGCTGATGGTAAATGATGGAGCTCAGTCCAAGTGAGGGAGTTATATTTGCATCCCAGTTGGACTTCCCAACTCACGCACAGAAAATAGGGTAGAGCCCCTGATGTAAGAATGAAGGATGTGTTTTTACTAAATCGGTGCATTTTGTACTGTCTTGCTTTCCTGAAATGAATCTTGAAATTTCCTTGCAGACTAACCACCAAGACTACAATCCAAAACCAACCACCTGATTTCCAACTGCTGAAATGATCCTGAAAGCAATGAAAGGGCTCTGTGTACCTGACTACTGCGGGTCCCAACAAGGAGCAGAGGACAAGAGGATTCTGAGCTGCCCAAGTAAAGGGGGATGGAAAGCGACCATCCCGTGAAACTCCCTGAGCCCCAGAATGGCTTTTCTTGGTTCCTGTACTCAACTCCTTAAGTACAGTGATAAATCTTGGGGCCACAAAACACCTGCCTACATGACTTTCCTTGGTTCAGACAAAAAGTAACAGTTTTGATGATTATAGAGAACGTCAACTGATAATCTTGGAAAGTAACGTATAGAACTAAAATAACCCTACATTGCCATTAATATGCCAGAAAAAAATTCTCTGATTTAGTGGGTGTGTGTGGTTGTAGAAATCCTATCAGGCTCTGAGAAGAGGTGAAGAACAATCTTATGTCTTTAAACCCATATAAAACCAACATTAAGTGATATATTCCCAGTTGTAACAAAATCTCAAACTGGGGAATGTAATATTCCTTTTGACATACAGAGGTCTGAATATTTAATACAGCACTGTTAACGTTGCATAACCCAAATATACTTTTAAAATATGCTCATGGTCACACAGACGGGGAGATGAAAAAGGGCTGTTGTAAAAGTGGTTTGAGTTCCATACGCTACTCTTTCATAGCAACAGCAGAACAGAAATGAGATGACCTATCTCTGCAGTCAAGTGCTTTGAAAAGAGGGCTACTGCTTTTGGAAAGTTTCTTTATTGTGACTGTTCTGAGAATTTTAAGGAGACAAGCATAGACATCACTATTATTTTTTTTTAAACAGATCAAAGATAAAGTAAGTCCCTACAGAAAAAAATTACCATTTACCATTGTCAGGGAATTTTCTTTTACTCTGAGGCATATGATGGGAAAACCATACTTTCCTTTCTGCAACCATTTCTACCTCGTATTTCTCACTTCCTCATCCCCCCTTCCTACTCTTTAATGCCTCTCCATCTCCATTCTTTTTATCCTTGGGGTTTTTTTTCCTGCAGGAGCTTCCACTTTCTGTTCATCGTCTCTGCAATCTATCTATTTCATCTGCTAATGAAGCAGTTAATAAAATCTTCATCATTTGGCTTACGACAACATGCTAACGATTTCCGTTCACACTTCTTACAGCCATAGTGGCAGATTATTTGCGGGATAACAACAGTGGATCATTTTTTATAACCCCTTCACTCAGGAGAGTTAGATCCATTTAAAAATAAATATCAAATGTTGCAGAGAGTGTAAAGTACACATTTCCAGCAAAGATGCAATGTGAAGGAAAAGTGTTTGAAACAGCATGTCTCCAACATGCAACTTGGTCAATAAATGCTGACTATTATTTGGGCTTCCAACATTCAAAAGAAAAAAAATTACTTTAGAGAAACAGATCATGGAAGAAGAAGTGAATATCTTCAGTTTTGTCAGTGGATAAAACCAAAATATGTAGGTACATTCTATACATACTGCACAGCTCAGTGAAAATTCTACTTATATGTGCAGTTGATGCTCATATTTAACAAACATATATACAACAGATTCCTACTTCTTATGCAAAATCAGAGTCCCATTAACAGCAATGCAGCTTTCTGCTGACTTACTGTGCTGAAAAGAACAATGGGGACAGGCTTTATTGACAGGTGCTGCAATTACAGTTTCATAACACAGAACATTTGTTCATCGAGTAATGTGTTTCCCTCCAGACATCTTCATTAAAAAAGAAGCAGGAGTTCACCAAGTGATTGGTAATGCAGAATGAATACTCTCTAAGTACTTTCATCCTCTATAGGTATGAAATTCTGCTCTTTTAAAGTTCTCACTACTAAAAAGAAAACCAACAAAAAAGGATTGTGCAATTGTTCTTTGTTTCTTAAAATCATTTTACTTAAGACACATTCTGCATATGACAAAATTATATTGTAACGATTTGAATAAATTTAATCTACAGAAAATATGAGTCATTTTTCTATGAACAGATACCTGCCTGGTTTGGTCTTAAGTTGATTAATGCTCTTTGTTATTGATGTTTATTCATGCTTATTGTAACTGACTCTGGTCTTTCTTTCCAACTGTAGCTTCTGGTATGAGTCTAGTATGGTGCTAGTGAAAAATCCAGATTAACATCCCTGAAAACAAGTTACACCATACATCTGCCCTCAATTTATTACTCAACACAAAGTTGATTAAGCAAATGACCCACATTTTCAGGCACTGCATAGCGTGCCTTATCTGTTCTCCAACAGCTTAGACTTAGTAGACATCCCTGGTCTATCTTCACAGAAAGTATTGACTGAGGCATGTTCTTCTCATATTCTTAGAATACAATACAGTCAAGCAGAACCCAGCCACAGCCATGCACAGAAGTTTCCTACCAGTGAAATATGGTTTACAATACTTGGAACAACAAGCCCAGAATCAAATAAATGAAGACTAGGTTGTACCAAGCTACAGGCAAAAGAGTTTGGTAGGGAATTGTATCACTGTTTTGCAAGTGGTAGGTGAACTGCAGTAGAGATAAGGAAGAACAGAGTAGGAAAAAGAATGAAGAGGGACATGGTTTCATGCTGCAAAGAATTTTAGCATGAGATAGGAACTGGATGAGAACATACCTGAAGTTCATCAAGGAACATGCTTCCTGTTGCCATGAGCAGCATAACAGATACCATTAAAATAATGAGTAGAAGTTAGGACAACAGGGCAAACTCAGCATGTGTTAAGATATCACAAGCAGTGTTAATGGTTAGTGCCTTTGGAGACAAAACCAAGAAGCTTGTTGTTGATAATGAAAAAAAGCAGGAACAGCTTGAAGGAAGTAAGTAGAAGATGCAGGGTCAGAGCAGCAGATTAATAGGCAGAAGGACAAAATTATAGAAGCCGAAGCCAGAAAAAGGCTTTTAAGTAGGCTGGGTTTTTATCCACCAAGAATTTGGAAGAAAAGTGAATTTGTATGGACAGAGAGATACAAAAACACTTTTTTTCTGTTGTGACAGAAAAGAAACAAAACCTGGAGGTTTTAAAAGTGAACATGCAAGGATCTGTGAAGTGGCAAGAGCCAAAATGGACACCTTTGTTACAGACTTGAATTGCTGGGGAGAGATGTTGATACACATTTACAGTGAGGAGAAAAGGCCCAGGGAAGCCTAACATTTTTGGGAGATAAAGAGATCATGATCTGCCTCAGTAGAGGATTCAGGCCATACTGAATCTAAGCTGATGTGTGAGCATTTGTGATGAGACAGGAGTAAGAGAGGCCAATATCCCAATCTGTTGGGACTTTTGTACTACCACTGAACGTCAAGTTTATTGCACACAGACACTGGACTATAGTCATGACTGTGGACAAAAGGGATTAAAGAACATGACAGTGTGGCTGAGAATAGAGCCTTTAGAAACAATTATCATACCACTCTGAGGAAGTGTGATAAGAGCTTGTGGATACCATCACAATAACTATGGGCAAAACTGTATACGTAACATTAGCTGCTGTGAAATCCTTGGTGCTACAATTTGTTCTCAGTGTGAAAGGGGAGGACATTTAAAGACACCATGTCCTATAGGCACTAACTCTTTGGATCAGCAGAGAAATAAGACTTTTAAAGGCCAATAGGATCAATAAAGAACCCAACAACCTATGGGTGCTATGCCTAATTTTGAAGATGTAAGTCATCAGAATACCATTACTTTTGTTTCAAAAAGCAGAAGTGGTACAAAAACATTTATAGTAATTTACAAGAGTTGAACAATCTCCTGAACTATATTTTTAAGCAAAATCATGTTGGAGTCCATATTGTATGTAATAAGGCTATACTCCATATCGCATTAAAAAAATTGTACTTTTTAGCAAAGTAATGTGATCTGCCAATATTATCTGTGAATTTCTCCATTCTCGTATTCACACTGTCAGCTAATGATACTTTGTTTTAAAAGTACTTTAAACCTTATTATATTTTTTTTTCATTTTGTTCTCAATGTCAAGTTGTCATGGTGTAGCATTTCAAAAGAGAATAACCAGTTTGCACTATAATTAGTTTAATTGAAACCAAGAGTTCTTATACTAAATGTAAGATACTAAACTTATTTCCATGTTATCCTTTCAATTCTCAAGTGGCTTTACAGAAATTATTTCCACATGAAAAAGCTATGAAAATATTAATACAGACAAAACAGGGATACAAACTTTCCTCAAAACATTCTCAGACGCTCAACTCAAAACAGAGAGAATCCAGGTGTCTGGGCTTTGTGTTTTCTGCATCTCTCTGTTATTTCTCCAAGCCAAAATATCTTTGAACTTGCTGGTGAACTTCACCCAAATTTTGCATTGGGTGGTGAGATCTGAAAGGTACAGTTGTAAGTCAGGAGAAGGATCGTACCACGTCTTAACTGAGGAGTGGGAGGAGCTCAGTCCTACCCCACTCTGCTCAGGCTTGCCAGCAGCAGAAGCCCAGTGCAAGCTGGATGGTTGGCAGAGGTTTTTTTCTAGGACAAGCCTCACATAGACCACAAGAGTCACCACACAAAGTCCTTCCTGCCCAGCCAGCAGCCTAAGCAAAAGAGGGTATAAATCCAGCAAGAGCTCAAAACATCCAGGCAGAGATCATGCTTAGGGGGTGCGGGAGGGAAGTAGTCACCACGCTGCATGTGAAGAACTAAGAGGGGATGTGGAGGAGGGTGGGGGGTATGGAAACATAGTGCTGCAAGAACTGCAGTTTCTGGACTAGTCTAGAGGAAGATGTAGGAACACGATACAGAAGTCACAGTCAAGTTAATGACTAACCTAATTTTTATGATATTAGGTTTCTTTCCTAATTTATCTGAAAAGGAAAGTGTGGTTGCTCAAGCTGCATGCAAATTTTTGTAACCTGCATTCATGCATTCTTGAAGTTTAAGTTGTACTAGAGGGAAAGTTAAAGTGTTTGTTCTGAGGATACATAATTGACAAAAAGTTATTGCTAACTCTGTATCAGACAATTTCACCAGCCCTCACAGGAGTTCTGTTGTTCTATCATGCTTTCAACAGGTTTAAATCAAAGCCTAATTCTCTTTCAAGAGATGAAATATTATCTTGAATAAACATGCCAATACTTCAGAATTCTGCCTAAAGGGACTAACGCACTAAGCATTTGAGTAGGACTACAGAGCATCCCAGAGATTTATACTATGTGCCAATGTATATAACAACGTCCAAAGAAAACAAGTTAAGAACACTGCCACGGCAGCAAATGCAAGGAACTCCAAATTAAGTGTTTGATAATATTAACACTGGTTATTGAAACTTTTTTTTCATAATGAAACCATAATATTCAGCTACATCAATATGTAGAAGAAGGTATACTTGTTAAGTGTTCAGTATGTATTATTTCCTAAAAACTTTGGTGGTACAGCCTGCACTACTGGAAGTTAGCATAATCACTGACCTCAGTGGAGTAGAGCAAAATACCAACTGACTTCACACAAGAAGATGCAGTTTTTGAGGTTATTGCAATGTTCAATTAAGTAACAGGTAAAATATACTTAAATGAATTCAGTTCTGTTACGACGCTGTGAGTCCTTCAGACTTAAAATTCTAGGTACAGTAAGCAGAGAAGAGAAACACGCAATGAGTGTGGCTCATTCACACCTACAGACTGTAGGAGCTATTCAATCATTATTGCCTTGATTGCTACAACGATGCTTAATACTATTTTTATATATGGCACAAGTTTCTCATACACCTAAGGTAAAGAATTCTGCTTGATTTCAGTCGTGTTTGCCACGCAAATCAGAAACACAAAGACAATAACCTTTCATCTGTATGGGAAGCAATCTGATGCCAGACAACAGATAATTTTTATGGAAGTGTGGAGGGAGGAAAACACATATATACATACACTCCAGCTTGCTCAAAAAAGTCACCTCTTCAATGAACTCTGAAACTATTCTCTATTCTCTGCAATAAAGGTTTTGGTTTTGATCATGTGACAGATGTTAATGGACTTATTCATCTTTTTTTTCATATTCTGCTGGTTCTAACATAGATTTGCTAACTTTGCTCTAAAAATGTAAGTGCCATTAGCCACTGATCATTGTTTAACATAAAGAATAATTTAAAATAAAAGCTACTTACCAATTTTGCAATGTCATTCACATCATCTGTCACTGGATTCCCGCAGGAACTCTGGGCTTTGACAAGAGGATTAAGTAGGAGTAGTTGAAGACAAAAGCAAGTGATAATCCAAGTCTATTTAGTAAAAAAAACAGAAAAGAAACAAGAAATCCCAAGTAAGCAATCTCCAAACGTGAAGTAACAAGAGACTGTAGTAATTTTTTTTCATATACAAAGTCTAGATGCAACAATACTCTTCATCTTCAGAGTAATAAAGGAAAACTTGGTAGTGAGCCACCAGATTACTTGAGCCGGATCCTGCTTAGGTGAGTTTCTGCACAGTTTACAGATACCAACTAAGAGAAAGTGACAAACTCTGCAGTATTCTTCAGCAGCAGCATAAAACTAACTAAATACTTGTCATTCACCCAATAAGATATTGATAAACCTGTGCCTCTGATGTGGTAATGGATGATAATGGATACCAGACCATAGCAATATAAAAGAAAGTTCATAATTACAGCCATTACATTTCGGTACTTAAACTGCTAGCTAAACCACAACTGGACTCTGCCCAAACACTGAGATCTCAAGAGGCAATACAATATATTTTCTCTAAGGCCTCTCAGGACCGGCAGCTTGGCTTTGGCACTACATTCCCTTCCTAAATCCTATCAGGAGCAGCAATGCAATGTACTCACACAGGCTTGTCAGACTCAGCCAGAAAAGCACCAGAGAACTAGCTGCAATGCACCTGGGTGTCTCCTTGGCTACACTGCCTGAACTTCCTCGCCTTCTGTTGTTCCTTGTGCTTTGCTGGTTTCCCACAGAGCCCTGTGCCAAGTTGAAGCTGCAGATCTTTATTTCCAGAATGTTAAAGCATTTAAGTTATGGATAATCAAAAGTTGCCTCGGGTTGTGAAGCTTCTTGTGCCAGCTGACTAAAGCTGTCAGCAGGGGCCGATGATGGTGTACATTTACTGCAAGTATGGAATTTGCCTGTGCAGGCTCCTGAGACTCCATGAGGGCAGGACTGAGACCAGAATTTGCTTTTGCATGAACCAAGATGCATCTCAGCCTCACCTGTTCCCTGTGACAGGCAGAGAGCTCCTGTCTCCAGCCTTGCCTTCAAATGCTATCCGACCTTTCAATTTAAGACCAAAGCAAATCAAACAACATAGGCGAAGCTCTCTAGGAAAGCTGAGAGAGAAAATCACAGATTTAAAAGATTAAGTGTCATTATAGTAACCTGGAGGGGCTAAGAAAGCATGATAATAAAGATTGCTCGGGAAGCATGACAGAACAGTGCCAGGTACTTACCCTAGAGCTGTTAAATGACAAGTAAATCTCTCTCTTGTACTAGCTCTTAAATCTTATGTGTATCTTACATCTCAAGTAAAACTGGTCATTTGCTTTCTTAGAATATGACTTCCTGGCTCATTTAGACAAAACCAGTGTGGGCTGCTGCTGGAAAAGACAACCCAGCCTCCTCCACCTAGCTCTTGCACTGGCACTGGTACGACGGTTTAGCCAGCTGTACCAGGCAGGCAACTTTCATTTTTGTCTTCCTGTGCCATCTTTTCAGGCAGATCAGGTAACCGAGACAGCAGAAGTGGGCCATTACGGATGCGACAAGCCAGCACTGCCTGTTTTCAGTGGAGCCTGCACTAAGCTTTCCCTAATCTACCTTCCGATGCCACATTATCGAACATGATGATGGGTAGACTTACACACAAAGAAATCAAAAATATTCTAAGCACAGTACACATTCAATATGCAGCATGTCTTTCGATACTGCCTCTTGATTCAACATAACTAGCATTTAGAAATACTTTTAATTTAATATTTGTACAAATAATTATTGAGAATAATTACCTCTGAAAAGAATTGAAAATAAGTACCTAACTTCAAGGATAAAGGGCCTGGAACATCTCTCCTACAAGGAGAGACTGAGGGACTTGGGTCTTTTTAGTCTTGAGAAGAAAAGGCTTAGGGGGGATCTAATTAATGTGTACAAATACTTAAAGGGAGGGTGTCAGGAGGACAGGGCTGGTCTTTTCTCAGTGGTGCCTAGTGACAGGACAAGAGGAAATGGGCACAAACTTGAGTATAAGAAGTTCCACCTAAACGTGAGGAGGAACTTTACTGTGAGAGTGGTAGAGCACTGGAACAGGCTGCCCAGGGAGGTGGTGGAATCTCCTCTGGAGACATTCAAAACCTCCCTGGAAAAGTTTTGGTGCAACATGCTGTAGGTAGACCCGCTCCAGTGGCGGGGTTGGACTAGATGATCTCCAGAGGTCCCTTTCAACCCCACATGATTCTATGATTCCATGAAGTTAACAGACTACTTCCCCAGTAGCGATTTTTGGAACAAAATTATTATAAAAACGGCTAGAAGTTGATGACAACCAGCTCCAAAATGGAGTAACTATTCTGCTTTCAAGAATTAAAAAAACGGAGTTCTACCTTCAGAGCTAAACAGTACACGAGCAGTTACACTTGCTGGCGTTTAGGGACATTTCCCTGATGTGTTCTTTGGAGAAGGAGCCCATGCCAGAAATCACCAATTTCTTTATTAGGTTCCTCAATACTGAGAGGCATGTAAAAGATTTGTTCACTGACTTGTGTCACTGCCATAGGATGATATTTAACCTAACAGTCTAATAATCAAAAAAGTAGTAAAACTCTTTAACTGGAAATACTTTTTTGCCAGATCAATTGAGTAATATTAATAAAAGCAGCAGCACGCACCAAATAAAACCAGAACTTGTCAATCTTGTCGATTTTCATACTTCGGGATCTAAAGACAACCAATACATCAACCTTAAAATCACTGCACATTTTATAATTATGCAAATCAATATGAATACACTTTTTTCCCAAGGAAAATAATGGGAATTAAAAGCATAATAATTTTTATAACTGCTATTAAGAACAAATGCTTTGTAAATTTTGAGGTGATTTGAGGTTTTTCTTGCTTATTTCTTCCCTGTGTCATCCAACAAGAACTGAAAATCTGCAAAATACTGCTAGTTTCAACACACCTATTATCCAAAATCTTCTAATTATTTGCACTAACAAAATATTTATATTACACATGCCTGGAGGCACATTGTATGTAAGGACTGTATAGATCAAAGAGCTAAGCTATTTTTGTGTTACTTACTAATGACCAAACCTGCTGTTTGAGCAAAACTTGAACAGACCGAATTAAATCAAGGACAGAACAAAAGGGAAGCTTAAACAACAGCTTTATAAATAGAGATTCCAGTTTTACACTTTACTAACCATAAATGAAAGTTACCCACACAGTACTCCTAACAGATTTCCATATGTAATTACTTCTAAGCTAAACTGGGATTTCAAAGCTGGCCACAGGATTTAATCACATTTCATCTACCAGCATTAAATTGAAGATATATGGCAGACAGGAAGCAGACCTGTATACCAAAGGGTCTCTTCCTATTTTTGGCTCAAAAATGATTCAATTGTTTTTATGTTCTGAAATCTCTTAAATACTGAATATTTAAGTTGCTTTTGTGAAAGGGAAAAAATAATGATTAGACTGGAAAGGATGATTCAAATTAAAGATTTCAAGTACACACATTTTGATCATTTTGACTATTGCTTATAAACCACAACCTATAATTTCAGTTAACAGCATTTTAGAGAATTAGCTAGTGACCTAGTGTGTTGAAGGCCATACTTCCAGTTGAAAATCAACAGCTTTTTCATTTATGTTCTTCATTTATGATCTGAAGTGTTGACAAAGGTTGCTGATGAGTGCTTTAGCATCTTTTTCACAGTACGCTATCAAAGATACTCAACCACACTAGTTAATGTTCAGCTAATTCCTTAAGTGTTAAGCAGCAAGGGGAATACCGTATTGCTAAATAAGCCAAACATTGGGAAGTCTGGACATTTCCAAATAGTTTGTACTGATAACAGTTAATAATAATAATAATTAGGGAGAAATCATCCAAAAAAAAAAAAAAAAGATCTGTCTTCATTATAAAATTTCTTGCATTCAAATCATGTTAGCCACGAAATTTTTCAGCCCAGATTCTTGAGCAAATCATCCAATTAACCACAACCAAGCCATGGCTGCAGTAGGGTTAGCTGACAATGTGGAACAATATTCACCCTGGGCTAGGCTTCCCAAATTTATTTTTCACTTCTGCTAATGTTGGGGTAGGAACAACTCTCAATGTTGGTTCCTCAGGCAGTGTTTGTGTGCTGCTTTGCTGAGGCACAGCTTGTGAACTTCTGCTATAGACAACATTGGTTGGTCAGTCACGGATAGCTAACTTAATGGTCATACTTATGCCTTCAAAAGCTTTTTGTAAGAAGATTCAAAGAAAACTAAAATAGCAAGAAAAGATATTTCTTGCCTTTATATTTTTTTTTTAAACTACAAACATCCAGAAGCATAAAAACACAGTAATTCTTTCATATGTCTACTAATCTATTTAGTTCTTTAGCTGTGATAATCGAAGTCATGGAAGAAGTGTCTTTAACCAATTAAGAAATTTACTGTCAGCATTGAAAAATCTTGAATTGAAAGAAGATAATTTTTACAGAATGTAATCCAATTCCCATTTTCATGGCTTTCAGCGATACTTTCACCCATGCATGACAGTGCTAACTTTAGTACTCTGTGGCTAAATTTAGGCACATGGCTGTGCCTAAATAGTGCTTAAATGCTAAATATTGCTCAAGCCCCCCAAAAGTGAGTTAAGTGTGGAAAAAAACATTACCCACCCATGACCACCTAGTTCTGGAAGCAGTGAAGTATTTTGGCAAGCACATTTGGAACTGGAAAGGTCCTTACACGCTCTCAGGTACCCTGGAGATGACTTCAGTGCAGTTGGAGGAACCACTGCCTGATCCCTGAATAATACACAGTTGAAGCATTAAGCCCAGTGTACACCCATCATTGTCCTTCAAAAGACTGGCACTAGTCTAACCAAATATAATAGCCTATCAACTAGGGTGCTCACTAACGAGTGACAGATCTAGGTTAAATTCCCTCTGACCAAGGTAATTTCAACTCACAGATATCTATATTCCTCTGATATCTACCTCGCAATTACCACTGCAGGCACTTAACTACCTACGATGGCTTCCTAGCCAGAA